TTGTCGTCCATACTAGTCACACATTCGAGATATTCCATGGATTAGTGCCCTTTTTAAGTCCACACACATTCATATGCTATGTATGTAGCTTACATACTTATGTACTCACATATGTACATTAGATTTGGTCGGTTTCCATACGAATAAAAAATTTGTAAAAGCCTACCCCCGTATTAAGTGCTTATATTGAGAAGATTTCGGCGCCATAAAAATTTTATTTCTCATTCTAGAAACCGCCGAACTGTTTTTTTATTACAACCAAAAAATATTTTTCAGGGTTTAGAAGGATCATAAAATTTTGTTCGGTGTCGAGATTCCCTCAAACAAGGTTTTAAATACAGGTGTGGACTTTTACAACATTTTTCGACCCAATCTAATATACATATGTATTTATGTACTTATGTAGTTGTAATTAATGTCTCGGGTGCTTGTACGTGAGTAGGTCTTTTACTTTTTTCAACTCTTCCTTCAACTGATTTCCATTTGCTGAGGGTGTACATATGTACATAAGTTTATTGTTTCAAGCTTCGTAATTAATTCATGTGTGCGCAAAGAGTTCTCTAATTGCGACCACTTAACTTGAAAGCCGACATAAGGTCATAGGCAGAGAATTAAAAAAAAAAAAAAAAACATACACGTGTGCCATTTGTAATTATAGAAAATCCATTATCGTTGAATAGATATTCAGTGGAATTTTTATAAATGGATTCGACAATTTAGACGCACTGCGTGGCAGTGTAGGCGCTGTCTCATTTGGTTGTTGCTTCACTCATAAGTTCCTATACCAGTCGGTTTTCGGTTAGACTGCTTTTCCTCGTTTCGTCTGAAAGTTTTGGTGTTTTGATTCTTCGCGCTGAGGTTTTAGATATGAAGGAATAACCAAAGCCAATTAATTTTAAATAAAATAATAATAACCACCAACAGCAGGTGGACTATTCTGAAGTTTTGAATAAAATAAAGATATCTCTGGTCATCGTTCGATTAACGAATAACTCGAATTTTGCTGATAATCGCTAAGCCGAACATATATAGGATATACAGAAGAGCTCCAAAGAAAAACTGGAAAAACGAATGCAAGAGATTCATAACTTCTACTAGAGGATCATCAGGCCTATATGATCGCTTGGTTAGCGCTTCCGTATAATGATTTCTGTAGAAGCTACATATAAAGATGATGTAGAAGAATAATCTATTCAGAATTTCATCTACGAATGCTCTATTGGACCTTTTTTTGGTGATCGAGCAGTTTCAGGCTAACCTAATTTGGAGCGACTATCTGGATTAGTCAAATATCGGTTTTTTTAGAAGAAGAGATTTTAGTTTTGGTGATTTTACAATAGGTAGAAGAAAAAGCAGGAGAGAGAAAGAGAAATATCCCCAAGACACTAGATTCTATGTAGCCGGAACGACTCTGATTTATACATATCAGACTAAGGAGTGCCACTTTTTTGGGACAATTTTCATGCCAATACAGGGCACAAGCGTGGCTGTAATCCATCAGAGAAGCTCACTCAAAAGCCGCCTCATCAGATGTGAGAAGATCAGTAAGCTAATAAACCCAAGCAAAACGATTTAAAAAACATCTTCTTGAAATCGGTAGAGCCCAACTAAGCAGACCGACTGCGATTTCTCGTCTAACAAACTCCTTTAATAAATGTTATATGACAATCTGTCCCAGGCCATACACAAAATGGTGAACGGCGGAGCTTAGCTTAAGAGAGCAGCTAAGAAAGCTTTCAATAGGGCGAGTTTACCAAGAACGCTGTGGGCTGGGACGCCGAATTTTCAATGCGTTTAAGAAAGAGATAAAAAGGAAAAGGTCGCAACGTGGTCCAAGTTTTGTGTGGGCCTGAAAAGGGCCACTAAAATTGCTCGATTGAGAAGGTGCCAGGAAGATGACCTGGGCAATACAGGCGATACCATCAGTCTTCGGACAGAAACCCCTAACACCTATTGGCAAGGCAATCCAGTCAAAAAATCGACACTAGATAAAAATAGCGGCTATCATATTTTTCCGACAACAAGCGCCACAATAACTCTCTGCCAATTCACAGGGTTAGTCTCATCCTTAGCTATATACCGAAACCATGGAAGCAAGTAAGAGTGGTTTTCATTCCTAACGCAAGAATGGCGGGGTATAGTACTGATCAACATTTTAGACCCATCAGTTTCTCCTCAACATAATGGAGTCTGCAGATCATGAGACGCCTTACTTCCGAAAACTTCTGCAATGTCCAAAATGCAAAGGTTTGTCAGTAGAAACAGCCTCTGCACGAGGTTTTTGGGAGTATAAGGAAAGCGGAATATGTGCTGGCAACCTTTCTAGACGTACAAGATGCCTTTAACAATGTTAGTTTGGCATACAAGCACTCCACCCTAGTCGCCGATGGACTTAATCCTCTGATCTCTCTCTGGATTGACAACACGTTGAGTATTAGAAGCATCAGTGGCTCCTTGGGAGCCGCAGAAGTAAGGAAAACAGCCACACTCGGTATTGCTCAAGAGGACGTTGTATCTCCACTGCCTTGAAACCTCGTGCTAAACGAATTCTTGCTTCACACACCAATAGCAATTAAGGTCGTTGTGTATGAAGATTACTTAGGCATTCTGGTCGCAATTACCGACCTGGCAAGGTGCGAGGTAAGGAACGGTCCAGAAGTTAACCCCTCCAAAACTGAACTTGTTCTGTATACCAGGCGATATAAGGTAGACAAATTTCGTACCCCATCCTTCAATGGGGAAAATCTCAAACTGTTGAAAGAGGCAAGGTTTTTTGGAGTTTTTCTCGACTCTAAACTCTTCTGGAAAAGTAACATCGAGGAGCGGAGGGAAAAGGCGCTTAATACGCTCTACACCTGCAAAACTATGATCGGGAAAGACTAGGGGCTGCGGTCGCAGATAATACACTGCATCTAATGGGAATATAAATCAAAAGTGCCGCACCTACGAGCGTTCTACGATTCAGGGCATCTAACAGGTTGCCAACAACTTGCAAAACTCATGCCAACATCCTCGAATCCATTTTTCCGAAATAAGTAACTGGACATGGGAACAGGATCTGGTATCTTCTCTCAGGAATAATGGCTGCAAAGCTGGTAATCAGGATTGACCTAGATTCATCCTGGGACATATTGGTATTCCGCGAAACCAGGAAATGGACGAGCAAGCTAGAAAGCGATCTGAGGTAGCATTAGGTGCCCCAGGCGGTTCCTGTCCTTGTGGTTCCAGTCTTCAGAAGTTGAGAAAATTACCGTGAACCTACGCGGTATTGCGCTCACTCCGGCCACGGCTCGATGAACGAAGAACACGGAGTTTATTAAGGCTCCGAAAGTCAAATGTTGGGCTTCTCACAGGAATACTAACGAGACACTGGGTCGTTGGCTCCATGGCTACATGGCCGCCAAGTTCAGAGCCATGTGAAACGATTTGTGCAGAATCTGCCAAGACGAAGAAGAGATAAGTCCGTCCAACACTTTCTTTGCGAGTGCGCTGCGCTCCGGAGTAAAAGTCTCACATTTCTGGGAAATCACTTTTTCGCGAGTATAGACAGCTTGGAAAAACTCCATTAGAGGGCCTATTAGGATTCGCTCGAGAATCAGGGGGGTTTAAAGACATGCAAGGATAAGCATGTGGACACCCTTTGAGCATCGCAATGTTGCTTTGTGGCCTTCAAGTGAACCCAACTCAGAGGTGACTCAATTAATGTTAAATTTGCTTTGGAGACAAATCAGTTTCAGCTTCAATCTAATATACTTGTTGTGCTTTTTCAAACAAAAAAGTCACGACAATCCAATTTCTACAGAAGTTTTATGCCCATGAAAATGATTTCTTCTTTATGTCACCGTTCATACTTTTTCTGCAAGAAATTTACTCCAAATTGCCTCTCGTGCGACGAGCGGATTCTCAGGGTGCAGCTTGGCTATTATAATATTTACAAATTTACATTGATATACATACATATATCGGTATCTAAGTACCTAAGTACAACTAAAAACAACGTTCGCTTTAAAAATTCCTTCAGTTCAACAACCCTTCATCGTCCAAGTATCTTTTAAAGATAATATTAAAAAAAAAAATGCAACAACAAAATGCAAGAAAAATTACCCAAAACAGGCAACAGGCTGTTGCACCTTTCCAGAACGCTGATAAAACAAACAAAAAAAAGTAGCCAAAATCAACACCCAACACAGCGCGCGTATACCAACTTTACTCCTGAAAAACACGCTCTCGCTCTCGCTCTCTTGTGCTCTCAACATTTCGAACAAGGAGAACTACCCAATATTTTTTATGCTAAATATACCGTTAGGAAAATAGTGCTCACATTTACCGTTGTACATGTGCGTGTGGGCGCTTATGCTTTGGGAAATTTATTTAGCAATGGCCAGGTTGATAGGCCGGAACTGCTGCTGATGTTGCTGGTGCTCGCGCTGGGACTTGGTGGAGCTGCTGAAAATTCAGAATTCAGTATGAAACGACATAGCGCCGGATGCGCACGGTAAACGAATCGAGAGCGGATAAAGTTTGTGACGTTAATGTGGAATGTACATACATAGAATTTGAAAGAAGAAGCTCAGAGAAAACCAAATTTCTGGTAAAAGTGGAATTCTAGGGTAAACGACCAAGTTGGTGTCAAAGTAAGCGCAAACGAATTGAATGAAGCGAAACTTTAGTGCATAAAAATATACGAAGAAGAAAAGTGGAAGCTAAAATCGCAAGAAAAGGTGCCAGTACGTAAGGCAGAAGCTAGGTGCGTACGATTAGCAGGAAATGCGTGAGTGCGTATAAACTGCTGTGACGACGTGTGCGCACACCAGAGGTGAAGGTGTAAGAAGAAGCAAACAAAAATTTGTCACAATTTTCACCTTCGCTGCCAAATGTGCGTGGAAAATTTTATTTTTGGCATAAAAAGGACAAGCAAACATTGAGGCGGATAGTCAGCGGTCTTTTGTCGCGCGTGACAAATGATGAGTGAAAATTTAGGCCGGCTAAAAAATAAACGGTATTACGAGTAAATTACAATAAACAAATACAGTGAAAAGCGATCCAAAAAAGTAAAACCACACAAAGCAAAGCTAAAGTAAGCACACGCAAGGTAAACGAAAAATAAAACTGCCGGCGACGAAGGCGCGAGTGTGCATACATACATACATACATACATATAAGTTGTGCAAAAAATCTGTTGAATGCGCGAGTATCTATTTTTGCCGGCGAAATAACGCAGCGCGTACGGGAGTGCTAGTGCGTGAGCGCAACAACGAGGCGGCTGAGGGTCAAGTGTGCGTTTAGTGTGAAAGTGAAATGATGAAAAAGTAAAAAAGAGTGCAAGTTTGATAAAAAAAAAATAAAAAAGGCAAACAAAAGTTGAGCTAACGTCAGCTGGCAAATCTAATAAACAAGGTAACTTCTAAATAAATTTTTTTGCAAAAAAAATCTCCAACAAAACTCCAACTCAACCAACAAATATGTCAGCCAACATCTTTAAAATGCTGCTGCTGTTCCTTGCAGCTGCTTGCCTCTGCAACGCGGCACCCTCACCTGAACCAGCACCCGAACCACAACCACAACCGCAACCGGAACCTGCACTCTTTAGCAGCTATAATCCCGCATTCATATCGAATCCATCCATTTATACCTATACATTGGCGGAACAGCGGCCAAAGCAAACGCAATTGAAACAACAAAAACAACAGCAACAACACGCAAATACTTTGCTGAGCAATGATATTGAATATAATGGCAATGACAACAGCAACAATAACAACAACAAAAATTATTACAATTATGCCAGCAACAATAATAATGTGCCGTTTAGTTCGAGCGAGTCGGCAGCCTCTCCGCCTTCTTCTGCGAGTAATCGCAATTTTTACTACACTAATGCCAAATTTAGTGGCACTCCTACAACTGCAACACCCACTCAACCATTGCCGGTGAGTGGTTGTCAGTTAGATCGTTTAGCCGTTTATAAGGTTGTATTGCACACCTATTGGACGCGCGATTTATTCCCGAAACACTATCCGGACTGGAGGCCCACAGCGCAATGGACGAAAACTATAGGTGAGTGTATGGGAGGGAAAACGGATTAATTTTGTGGTTGACTAAATGTTATAGATACAGAAGTGGTGTGACTTAAAAAAATTGCAAAAAATACAAACCTATAAAATTTGTATTCGAAAAGAAGTGCTCTATATAAGGACTCAGTAAATCAACTAAGTTTTTTTTTTTACCATTCAAAGTATGCTTGCTGAATCTTAACTAAACAATAATGGTTTATGTGCCTTCAAAAACTGGTAGCAAATTTAATACAAAGCAGGGCAATTCTGAGTAAGAGATGTAGTTGCAAGACTTTCGTAAGACAATTGAAAGGCAGTAGGCAAGATAGTGTGAAAGATTTTGTATATTTTGGCATAAAAGTCTTACAAAAAAAGGCCACTTGCCAATTTTCATGGTGAAAAGCTCTTTTGACCGAGTGAACAAAGCACTGGCATGCAATTCGTGAGGTACGACGTTCGAATCCTCCGGCAGCGGAATTTTTTTAACTTAATTTAATTTTTTGTTTAATTTAATTTAATTTTTTTTTAATATAATTTTCTTAAAATTTTTAGATTCAATGGCTTTAAAAAGAAAACTATATTTTGTCAATTTAATTAAATTTTTAGAAACTTATGTATTTTATGTATTTTTTTTATTTAATTTGTTTTCCCTTTTAATTTAACTTGATCTTCGCTTTTAATTTTTAGATTTATTGTTTAAGAGAGAAAAGCAATTTTTAAATTTCATAAAATTTTTAAAACCTTACATATGTAATGTATGTAATTAAATTTCGATTATTTCTTCACTTTATTATTTTTATTCTTTAGTTTAATTTTCTTAAAATTTTTCGCTTTAGTTGTTATCAGATGCCAGATATTTTATCAACTTCGTTTAATTTTTAAGACCTTATTTTTTTAATTCATTTAGTTTTAAGAAACTTATTTAATTTTTTTATAGAATTTTTGCAGTTTTTTTT